GTGCATTTTGTCAGATTTTGGTGATTTGACTGTGCATTCTTTGGTATTTTAATTGTGTAGCTTATATTAACAGCATTGATGACCTAGCTAAATGTGTATCAGGGGCTGGATCAATATAAAAAATATGAAGTTTACGTCATACATAGTTTCTTCATCCTGACATGTGCATGTTATAGTAGGTATAAGTTTTTCCACATAGTAGTAAGGGAGTTGCTGTGATCTATAGCCCAATTTTATATTGTGGCGTTGTTGCATAGTTAATACTTTCAGTATACTCCAACAAGTTTTGAACATTGATCTGAGCATGCTGTAGTATGTAATGGCCTACTGTCTTATCATACTGTTGCTTGCATCCTGTCGGGATTCCCTGGTTACAATTTGTCCCCTGCAACATATGCTGGTCATACTGGCGACTAAATGGATCGGGGAGTCAGGCTCGGTGACTTGGTTGACCCTGATGGTGTGGATCATTGCTCACAATATCAATCACCGGATTGTCTAGTGCAGACTATTATTTGCAGGCTGCTGTCATATAGCTGTGATATTGGTGATTGGCATTACGCAACAAACAAATAGTGTTGCTCATGCTATTGACCACTGGTTCAAGACTGGGTTGCTGTACACACTGCTGTCATATAGCTGGGATATTGGTGATTGGTGTTATGCAACGAACAAATAGTGTTGCTCATGCTATTGACCCCTGGTTCAAGACTGGGTTACTGAACACACGGCTGTTATATGGCAGTAGTAGTGATGGAAATCACTCACTCACCCTATGAGTAGTGTCAACATCTTGCTAATGGTTTTTCTTTTTGAAACAAGCATTGTACGAGAAACCAGTCAGGAGAACAGGGCATGACTATCTGATCAAACTCAGTAAACATGGTAAACCACACAAAGTTGACAGTTCATAACCGCAGAACAGTATGAGATGAGATTGTGTTAACATGGTTAAGTTATGTCTTATCGGATGCCTGGACACTTGGAATGTGTTTACTTATTCTGTGATTGAAAATAAGATGCTCACAAAGGATAATCAGATAATGAAGATCATTATTTTTGTAACGTTATGCAAATACGATTATTTGTTTTGTAAGGTTACGTCTAACCCGAGGACTGCAAAGCCCACTGCGGAAACCTTGTATGTTCTCTACCTCCACACTGTGTGACACCTGCCTCCCATGCTGTTGTTGATGTGACCTGGCTTGAGGACACCGGCATTGATTTATTGATTTTCACACATTGAACACAGTAGATAATATACATCTACCAAGCACAAGCACCTGCTTCAGTTGTGTAATGCAGGTGACCTATTTGCCATTCACAGGATAATGTCGCAATCGTTATTTCTTCTGTGTTTACTCGTTTGCCTATAAGTGATATTCTACTGAAGATTTGAAGGATAAGTTTCTCTGGTTTATTATTATTGATTAAAAAAAAACTTGTTCAAGTTGCCAAAAAATCAATATTTTCCATGATTTTTCTTGTTAATTTTTACCTTCTGATTTTTCTGAAAGAACACACGCATAAAAAATATTGATTATATTTAACTCTATCAAATGTTTTTTTCATATTTATTAATTATTAATATTTATTAATTCCAAATCGTAATTGATATGTGAAAATGTAACTGCACCTGACTTTATTTATGACAGCTGTAATTGAACTATGTAAATCATTACGCAGTTTTAGCAAAAGGATGGGATCAATATTTGCTTGCAGTTGTAAGGGGTAAACAGAGAGTGTCGTGTCCTGTATGAGGTAATGACATTATCAGCCTACCGGCATCAAGTGTTTATTGAGCGGAACATTACTCATTTGGACATTTTGTTTATCAGATAAACACTAGCAGCTTTATTGATAGTAATTTGTCTTTCGGTAAATATGCAGAATATGGTCTGAAAAAACTACTTTTGCAAACAAGATGATTATTTATAGTGGGTTTGAGTTAAGGATCTGTTTCCGTAGAGTGAATATGGTTATAAACCACTTTTAGCAATATTTCATCCACATCATTGTAGGGGATGCCTGGACTGGGTTTCTCCCGCGGTGTCTGTTATGGGGGATAGAAACAGCGTCCTTGACATAATGAGCGATTGCTTTAAGGACTTAGCTAGCCAACAGCTTTCAATTTGATTAAACCACCTTCCTTGTCTAGTGGCTAGAGCGTTTGACCGGAAAGGGAAAGGTTGGTGGTCTCGTCATACCAAAAGATGTTAAAAGATGGTACTTTTTGTTACCCTGCCTGGTGCTTGGCATTTGGGAGATAAAACAAGGACTGGTTGGCTCGGAGTCCATACTGTTTCTGTCAGTGGGGTATCCATGTTTAGCTGCGGCAAGGTATATCAGTGGGCTAGCTCTATGAAACCAGCATTAGTCCGGACTAGAACAAGCCCACACAGACAGACACACAGACAGACACACAGACAGAGCTAAGATGGAGTTGTCTTATGGTGTTCAACTTTTATATTCATTCAATATGATGTTTCTGTAGAGGTGCTTGTACCTTCCAACAAGCATGTGACGAAGATACTAGTACCCATTACCGAATTGTCATATATAAAGAATAAAAAAGTTGAAATCCAAAAGTCTGTCTTAATTTCAACTTTTGTGACTTTGGGACCACGTTTTATGTTTAAATTAAGTAATGTACTCTCAGTATCATTTAATTTATTCTGATTGGATTCATTATATCCCATCAATTTCTAATCCGTCAATCTTCTCCTTTTCAAAAAAATTCCGGACTTAATCTCCCGTTTTGACATATTACCTGCTGTGAAATATACAAGTGTCAGTATATTGCCAGAAGCCATGTCCTCACACAGCTGATTGGGAATTGATAAGTGATTAGTTTTATTGTGAGTTGATGGAAGGATTTCTCCAACCACAGTCCGTGAATGGCTGCAGGGCTTGTTTCACACTTCACTGCCCTCTGTCTATTTACGTCCGACTTACTTCACCTATTACAGTAAGTTATCTCACAGACTAGGGATTACGTTGCAAGTGTTGTTATTTCTCACAAGGTGTCTTTTGTTAGTTATTGACAATATTTGATCAGCTTTTGACCCATTAAATTTAGGGGTAAATTGGAAGAAAGTGGAAAGGTGTCATTGTTAACCTTGCATACAGGCTTTTGTGTATCTGACAAATAGGCTAAATGATGGGTGAAAGTGGGTTTGGCATCCATTCAAAGATGCTGAAAGCTGCATTAGGGTTGTGTAAGGAGGCTGGCTTAATGGAATGCTTCTGACTTGTGGAGAAGAACTCGCCTGTTAAGAAGCCAGTGTGAGATTCATTGCTGATGCATTAACTTGTTTGGGAGTTTAAGTGGTTCAATGTATGTCTCTATTTATGAAATTGCATCAAGGGATTTTTATTTGACTTCATATTTGGACTTCATGAAAACATAACTCTTGGTAATAAATGTTTGGACATTTATATTTATGACATCTCAGAAATGGTTTTAAAATGTTTATTTTGTTCACATGAAGTTCATGCTTAATAAGTAAATACTTGGTACACATGAACATGTTTAAGGCAGGGATGGCCAAAGAGTTAAAGCATTAGCTCATCATGTCAAAGATGGATACAATGTACAGCCCGTCCCTACTGCCCTTGACTTTCATTTGGACAATGCTACATGCCATATTGACTCACTCCTACATGAAAAGCATCAGCTCTCAGTGTGGAGGAAATGATGAATTTTCATAGAATCAAAATATTCCGGTTTTCATTTTGTAGAAGCATTCCTGTGTAGAATGGGGACTTTTGACCTTATTGGGATACTTTAGAAGATCCTATCCTCATGCAGGATGTAAATCGATACAGGACCAGCCTGGCACCAGGGGGCAGCACATCCAACAATTGCCCAATTCACTTGTCCTGGGATGTATCCAGTTTGGGGTTTTATGACTTTTGCCATTATGCAGGACTGGTCGATAACTCTAGCTAGTTCCATGCTGGTTATAGCATCCATATTATCTGGAATCCTCAATTGGATGATTTTGGGGGGTTTCGTGTTGGATACTGTAGGAACGTCATGACTAATGCCTTCATTATGAGTTGGTCAGAATTAAGGTTCTTTGTTATTGATTCCTATGTGTTATTATGTATGGTTGAGATAATTATGATGGTTGAGATAATTATGATATTGATTATTTTGTCTTCTCTGTCTTGTTTCATGGCTAGGCCTTGGAAGTTGTGCAAATCGTTGCCTGTAAAAGTCAATAGATAATAGTTTTCTGTCTCTGATAAATCACTACATATTCATTCGTAATATGACCTACCATCCATGCATTGCTTGTCAATTTAGTGATGATGGGGTAGCCCTGTGGTTAAAGTGTTCATGTCAAAGGTCCGAGTTTGACCCCCCGCAGGGGTACAGTGTGTGAAGCCCTTCTGATGTCCCCTACTCTGATATTGCTGGAATGTTGCAAACAGCGGTGTAATAACCATACTTGCTCACTTATTTGTCATTTGTCATGATTAGTAAACTCTTACAAGTCAATCATGTACTACCAACCTTATATATATATCCTTCTATAAAGTTACTTACAATATTATTTTCATTTGTACATTTTGTTTCCAAAACATTCTCAGTCTTCATATGTATGTCTGTATATATGTATGTGTGAATCATAATGTTTTGTCATTGAAAAGATTGCATCTGTTCTGCAATGGAATGTTCTCTGCAATAAATTATCTTGTTTTATCTTATCTATGAGCTAGCCTTCCATAATAATTCATCACATTTTCCTGAAAACTTATCATCAACAAATCATACACTTTACCCTCCAAACCAATGTTCCCCCTACTCAAAAGACAACATATGTATGTAATTAGTTGATTCCCCCTCCCCCTCCCCTGAACCACTCAGGCTTATCAGTGCCCTGGGGAGGGGACGCAGTTGCCTGGGGGGAGGGGCGGAGATACAGCCAGCCGGCCACAGAAGATGTGAGGATTAGTGCAGTCAGGCTTGGCTACTGATCGGAAGTGTAGGGCGATACTGACCTGAGGATCTCTCTATCTTCTGCTGTTCTGTGGAGAAGGATATTGAATCTGGAAGAGAGCAGACGTCAAATTGTGGATTTTGTGTGCCTGTCTTGAGAGGATACAGTTGATCACACGAGTTGGATGTTGTATTGATAATTGTGAAGGAAACTCGTAGGAGATGTTTTGGGTGTTTACATAGTTTTGTGACTCACTGGAGTGGAGACCATTTGTGTATTAGGAAGTGTGCATTATAGACTTTGCATTGAGGTAATATTTACCCCGAACCTGACTGTGCACCTTTGGACATTTGATCTCATTTGTGGACAACCCAGCTCTCTGGACTATGTTTGATACACTGGAGGTAGGTGCTGCTACAAATCTGAACAGCCAAATCAAACTCTTGAGGGCAAAATATGTGCATGAATGTGGGGTTTATTTTTAAATGGAACTTTGTGAAGGCCTCGCCATACTCATGAACTGGAAGTACAACATGTATCTTCGTCCTCTCTGATTCTGTATCTTCCATTTTTAAAATTTTAGTTTAGATTATCAGAGGTAGTCACCATGAGTAATTCAAAGTACAGCACATGTCGTAGTTTATATCATAACTTCATCTTGGGGAGAAAACAATTCATGCTTCCAGATTTTCACCCTCCCTGTGGTGGTGGACCAGTGGTTGTGTCTTAGGGACAGGGATGATGATGAAGTAGAATATATTTTCTGAAATTGTGTCACGGAGGGTTCGCTGTGGCCCTTACAGTGACATTCCAGGTGTTTCAAGCACTGTAGCCACATTCTTACCCCTATTGTTGTCAGCAGCCCTGTCCTGGTTCTGTTGAAAACTAATCACATGTCGTCAGCCGGCTACAGCAGGGGGCAGTGTTGACGTCCCCCATGACATACCCTACATCATAACAATAGCAGGGAGACATGCCCCTGTATATCCTGGCCACAGACTGTCACTGGTCCATCTGCAGCTTGTAGCTTGACAGGTCCACAAAGTAACCTTATGAGTAAGGTTAAATAAGAGTAGATCTATTAAGGAATCCTGAAGTTTCTGAAAAGGGGATGAAAATGGATTGCTTGTTTGTTTAACGCTGCGCTCAGCAATATTCCAGCTATAGGATGATGGTCTGTAAATATTTGAGTCTGGACCAGACAATCCAGTTATTGACATCATGAGCATCGATCCACGCAATTGGGATATGATGACATGCATCAACCAAGTCAGCGAGCCTGACCACCCGATCCCTTTAGTCGCCTTTTACGACAAGCATGGCTTGAATGGGGGTGATCGTTTTTACTTATAAACATGTTGGATATAAAAAGCTTACTGGTCAAATGTAAATGTTAAGGTACAGGTTTTTGTTCTGAAAATAAGTATTCACAAACCTAAATTGTCTTCCAAAATCATAACTGTTAGATTTACTTGTTAGGTATTGTGTATTAGAAGCCTGATGTTAATTATGGTAAAAAATGACTAGTGGTAAAAGGCGTCAGATGTTATAGAGTGGGGATAACTTCCTCTATCCTGGAGATTTGTCAAGGAAGGGCAACTAGAGTGGTGGAAACATTCTCAGTGTTTTGAACAAAATCATGTCATGTTTCAAAACCAAAGTTACTTCTATCTACCAATGATGTAATGCTATTCATAGAGATTGTTGAGTGATCAGGATGAATGATACTTGACAGTGAGCCTAAGGCTTGTGACTGCTACATTAATGAATATCAGTGATGATATCTGTCCCCATCAACCATTTGCCAGAGGAGGTGAAAGTCATCAAAGTCATCAATATTGCCTGATCTCACTGTCCAGATACCCAGTGCAAGGGCATTACTCAGAGGGAGATCTGGCCTAACATTGTCCATGTAGGATCATGTCTGCTCTAATGTGGGCAAGATTTGACGGAGTGAGTGAGTGGGTGAGTTGGGTTTAACCCCACTTTTAACAGTATTCCAGTTATATCACGGCTTGTCAGCTTAATGTAGGAGGAAACCCCAAAATGATGCAGTTCTCAGACGTTTCCACTTCGGTGAAACCCACAAGCACGGGTATGGTGCTGACAAACCTAGAAACATAATTGGGGCGAAACGGGATTCCAACCCACAATCATAGGTTTCTGGTGTGCCCAAGGGACGGAACTCTGCACAGCGAATCACGGCGCCTTAGACAACTGGGCCACCCGTGCCCCCTGGATTTGACGGAACATTCTCCTTCCTCAGAATATTTGGGTTAACAGTTGAGATGGTGTTCCATGACATTGGACTGAATTTCTCTAGTGCTCCAAGCTTGAGATACTACTATCACTGAATTGTGGATCCAATGGTAAAAATGGCTGCAATGTGTGTCTTTGGATGGTTGACCCCTGGGGAATAAGAATTAGTAATATACCAGAAATATCATGACATGGTCACTGAGAATGGGTTTCACATGTTAGGAATTGACGCTGAGCGCGATGAGCAAAACATTAGCCGCCAGGCTACTCCACTGCCCCTTAGATGTCTATAAGCTGAATTAGTGTACCAACATATCCTGTGGTGTGGATTAGTGTTCACTCTATCAACCACTGGTTTGTCTGCTCCAAACTTGATCATTCAATGAAAGTCAATCCGATAGAGTAAGATTATAGAGTAAGACCCTATCTACTAGGACCTCTCAATTTGTTGAACAAATGCTCACAAATTCAGAATTTGTGGTTGAGAAGAACATGTACACAGTATACTGAGGGAAGGATAAGGGAACAGGTAGTAATATTCACATCAACAAGCTGGGTCACTGAATGTTTGTAGCTCGGAGTTCACGATTGGGTGGGTGTTTAGGTAGTATTGTGGTCAAAGCATTTGCTTGGAGGCCTGGGTTTGATTCTCCACGTGGACAATGGGCTGTGATTCTAGGTTTGTCTGCACCTTAGACTTGAATCACTCACTCACTCACTCACTCACTCACTCACTCACTCACTCACTCACTCACTCACTCACTCACTCACTCACTCACTCACTCACTCACTCACCATGGCTCAGGACATGTTCCGATTATTGATGCTTCACCTCACATCACCATCTGTCCCCAGATCTGCTATCGCCATCGTCCAATGTAACACGTTATAACATAGCCTAGGGCTCAGCTTGTACCATGCACTGCATATTCAGGTGTCCCCATCCCCTGAGGGAGACATCCTGAATCTATAGCTGTATCTCCCCATCAGGGACTAACCTGCTGTATCCTGCTGGAGACATACACAATGCATGTGCAGACTAAAGCATGGCAGGGAATGGGGTTTTAATTGGATGCTGTAATAGACATCAAAGTGATGTAGACAATACTTAGATGTATCGGGATAAGCCTTTGTAACTGTGGCAGCCTCTGCACACAGTGTATGTGTTCATGTGTGCAGGGGGTTACAGCTGTAGTTGTTTGTTAGTTCATGGTTGACCGACATATGAAATATTTCATATTGTGGCTAACAATAAACTCACTGATAACTATTTTTTAAGTTGAATGGGCATAACATGTCATAAAGAGGTTGCATCTAGATGTTTTGTTTGTAAACAATTAGGTCAGGACCAAACAGTCTAATCATTGACACCATGAGCTTCGATTTATGCAATTGGGATACGATGACATGCATAACCAAATCAGCAAGCCTGACCATTAGTCCTCTTATGACAAGCATGGGTTGCTGAAGACCAGTTCTAACCTGGATCTTCACAGGTACCTGTAGAATGTGTTGCTTCATGTAGAGGAAGCATGGCTGGCCTAGCGTTCTAAGGAACTATACGTCACAATGAAGGTCAGATCTGTGCCAGGATCGGATGGTTGAGGGTTTGAATCCCATTTCCACCCTGATTATGATCTTTGGTTTCTCAGTACCAGGTAGCGTTCACCGATGTCACTAAAGTCATTAATGTCTCCAATTTCAATTGCTTTGGAACTCCCACATATCTGACTGTCATAATATGACAAATACCATTAAAAGATCTCGGATGACTCACAAGTACTGACGTGCCATGATGCTTAACTGGAGGATGAAATATAGTCGCTATGTATCAAAATTCTTTTCCCCTTTCAAAAACAAGCATATCATCATCAGTTGTCTGATAATGTGAGAGATCTCCCTACTTTGGATCATGACTGATAAGTGGTATATGCTATACAAAATAACTAGTTTCCAGGATTATAGTATAGATGAAGTCAGCGTGATAGCTTGTCTTCTCTGTTGGGAGCCACTTGGCGTCAGATGACCTCCCTCGATACCAGATAACAGTCTGATTCCCCGAGACAAGAATCTTGTCTCATGACCAGACAATCCCTACCACTAAACACAATCCCATTTGACAAATTATAACGCGACTGGTATTAGTCTTTTTCTTAAGGAATTCAGCAACTTGCTGGGAATAATTGGTTCTAACTTAATAACCCATCTGGCAGACAATTTCCTATCTGCCAAATAATTTCACTGATAATTATTTCAGTTTTGTATTACAAGTCATAATTAGTGAATTTATCTTGAAAATTGGCATTAAAGAGACAAAATTCCTTTCTCCCATATCAGTGTCAAATGAAAATAATGTCAGAGTTCAAAGAAGAATCTAATAGTGGGAATCCAATTAACTCTTGTCTGGTGGTGCAGTTCCTGCTGTCCACTGATAAACATTGTTTTCTTTGACTCAATCGAACAGCCCCCTTCTGTGAGGATAGATCCGCTGAAACAAAGGCATTGTCAAGGCCAGGGTGGGGGTCAGGCAGGGTCAGGCTAATCATATAGGCTCCATGTCCAGAAGTTCTTTGGAGTGGTACTTTGCCTTAGGCTCTGACCCGTCTCAATGGTGGATTTGGTGCAATTTCATGTTTGAGTGCGGGCATATTTGTTTTGTCAAACAATCAAATACTGCTTAAAAATTGATTTGGAAGAAGTTTTATTATCAAGGCTAATAGTAGTTATTTTAGGATAATACTTTTGATGATCCCTTTGAAATATTTATTTTTTGTTGAATCAAGGCAATGGACAAAAGTGAAAAACATGTTTAATAAAGAATTCAGAAAATGACCTAAAGAAGATTGGTTTGTGCATAACTCTGTGTATAATTGATTTGTATACCTGGTGAAGACTATATCTGTATCAGTGTTTGAAGTTACGAATGGCCCCTATATGGTCCCCTACACTTCTAAGACTGTGTACAATGATCAATGCATGATGTGGACATGTTCTTATGAGCATTTAATGCATCAGGCTGTCATGCCGAGGTTCAGGGCTCAATTCTCCACATGGATGTGGGGAGGGGGTCGGATAGCCTAGTGGTTAAAGCGTCGCTCGTCATGCCGAGTTCGATTCCCGACATGGGTACAATGTGTGAAGCCCA